TTGATGAAGCTGCCACCGTGCCCCTTCATGGCCAGCGACGAGCTCCTTTTGGGGTTGCTGAAGTGCTTAGCCCACATGTCTGGCTGTGCCCCAGCCCCCTGCCCTCCTGGACCGTAGGAAGTTCTGATGTTGCACTGGCTGAGCAGCTGCAAGGGACTCTGGGACTGGCTCTGCTCCATCTTGTTCCCGTAATGGTAGGGCTCGTCTCGGCTCCTCCACACGGGGTCCCGGTTGAGGCTGGGTGTCTGGCTGGACAGGCTGAGCAGGTCCATCTGCAGTGATAGGGGGTCCACTTCGGCCGACAGTCTGCTGGAACTAACCTGCAGCTGGCTGTGCTGGTTCAGCATGGGCTCCTCCGTCTTGCCCTTGTTCTTGCCGATTTTGGCGCTGCGCCGGGACTCCTTGGCCCTGGCGTTCTGGAAGGCTGAGTCGGAGGAGTCAGAGCCATTGGGGTCTTCCCCAGCACTGCAGGCCCGTGAGCAGAATATCTGGCCCTGTTTTGGAAGGAACGGCCGTCCAAGGAGGGATTTCTTGCAGTGAGCGCAGCAGAAACAGGTTTCAGTGGCGTGCCAGTGTTGGCCATCATAGGTCATTTGGCCTTGGTCAATCCCTGAGGAAAGAAAGGACATGGAAGAGGCTGAAGAGCTGCTCAGAGTATTCAATACAATGTGAAACATACAGTACCCTGGCGTGGCTCAGGGTTCCAGAGGTAGCACCAGAATAAAATGTCATTAAGTCAATGATCAGACCCCTGTGTAAATGACATTCACGTCCTACTACGAGAGCCCCCTTGTTCTACCAGTCAGATCCTTCTTAACTTATTTGCTCTGAGTACAGAGAAACTAAACGGCCTGTCCATGAATCCTTCTGCCTGGGACACATTCCTACAGATAAACTGCGATGACGCTAATGTATAATAAAGCACTTCTTTAAATGCTTTGCATATATGTAAACTCATTTAATCCCTCAACTGCATGAGGTAGGTTTCTAATATTATTTCCTTTTTCAGATGAGAAAACAGAGGCATGAGAGGTTAAACAACTTGCCTAATATAAAACAGCTAGGAATCGTAGATGAGATCTGTACCCAGGAAGTCTCGCTCTTCACCATGACATGGGTACTGTCTCCTTCACACAACTTAGGGGTCTGCTTAAATGCCAACTCCTTGCAGAAATCTTCCTGTCCAATCTACTACCTCTATTGTTCTCTGCCTATGCCTGCTGTATTTTTCTTCATAGCGTTAATACCATTTGACATTAAACCACTACCTATGTGCATCTATTTATTAGTTCTCTCTCCCACTAAAAGCGAAGCTCTGTGAGGACAGGGTCACTGAGTTTCTTTGGTATCTCCAGGAACACTGCTTGGTGCCTCATAGAGGCTCTTCATATTTTGACTGGATGGATGAACTGAATCCTATCACCACTATATGACATTCCAAAAGGTAATCACTGTAGCAGCACAGTGGAAAAGAAAGCAAAGTAAATTTCAGCTCTTGGTAAGGAAAAATCTGTTCTAGGTGAGGAAAAAGTTGGATGCGGTTTGTCAACTATATCACCCCTCCATAAGCATCCATACCCTTTGTTTAACTTCATCAGGAAAGGAAGAAACATATTTCCTCCCCACGCTGGGGCTATGCCTGGTTTACATAATCTTGTTATACCTGCGTACAGGGGCCTCCCACAGCCTGAGCTGTTCTTGCTTCTCAGCATCTCTTCTGCCCCGTTCTAGTTATAGGACTTAATCTTTCCATGGGGCACCATCTCTTTGCCACCCTTGAGCCGTGAGCTTTGGGCAGGACTAAAGCCACACCTGGACCCAGCACTGGCCCATAAAAAACCCAAAACTCCCAGACCAGTGACTGGCACATGACTTGCACTAGGCCAATGGGAGAGTCACCTGGGATTGTTGCTTAGATAGTGACACAGGGAGGTTCTCTTTGACAGCAGTTGCTAAACTGACATAATAGAAGCCAGGATTTCTTGGGGCCCCCATCCTGTGGGGAGAGCCTGCTGAGATGCAGTCCCAGAAATTACTGTGGGATGAAAGGGGACTTTTGCAAGACTCCTGATGTCTGATGATAAAAGTCTTTCCAAAAAGGTAAGACTAATGTGAACCTTCACCTTCAGTGGCTGAGAAGCCTGAGCCTGGACTTTCTAGGAATAACTTCGAGAGAGTTGTGTAGAGAGTTGGTGAACAAAAAAAACTGAGAGAAAAAGAGAAGGGCAAGAGCAAAAGGCAAATGGCAGAGCAGCCTCTCCCGGCCCTCCTTGTGCTCACCCCTGCTTACCTTTATGGCCCTGGAGCCCAGGGAGAGAGAAGCATAGGGCAAATTCTTCTATAATTAGCTCTTCCCAAGGGACTAACAGGGGATTTTTAGAGGGACAGAAGCAGCCATAAGGGCCACCCCCAAGGCAAGAGGGACACTGAATCATCTCCCTTGCAGCACCACATTCCCAGAAGAAGTGAGAACCTGCTGGAGTGGGGCTAGAGACTGCTGACCCAGAGCTGTGGCTCCATCCACACTTCTTCCTCGGGCTCCTGGGAGGAAGCGGGGGCAGGCAGCACAGGGAGACATAACTCCCCAGCAATTAAGAGTGAGGCTTCAAGACTCAGGGGAACGCGGGTTCAAATCCCAGCCCCAAACCATTCCAGCGGGTTGTAAAGATGACGCAGTCTATCACCTTGGGTTCAAATCTTGGTTCTGCTGCTGTCTGGCTGTGTGACCCTAGGCAAGTGGCTTCATCCCTCTTTTCCTCGGTCTCTTCCACAATAAAATAGGGATAACAGTACTTACTTCATAGGGTCGTTGTGTGGATTATCTGAGTTAATATACAGAGAATGCTTAGACCTGTGCCTGCCAACTATTCTGACTACTCTCCTTCTTACATTTTTATTAGGTCTTAATGCCTGTCTCCCTCTTTTCTCTGATGCAGGATAGGAGAGAATTTTGAGGCTGGCTTAGTCTTCCCTCCTCTCCCCGTCATTCCCCTGTCATCTAGGGAACTCTTGCTGATGTCTCAGCTACCCTGGGTCCTAACTGCGAGATCTTACTCAGCACAGCATCCTCAGCAGCTGCAGCCTTCCCACTCCCTGTCAGAGGTACACAGGAAGTCCAGCTCCTATGGCCTGTCCTCCACCAGCTGCTTCTCCATGCTTCTGCAAGGAAACATGCTCATACATAGCAGCAAGGGCCTAGCTCTGGGGATGGGGGCCTCATAGAAGGCTGGGCTGCTGTGGGGAAAGTGGTGGGGAAAGCACGTCACAAAGTGGCCCAGCAGGCATCAGAACGTGGTCCCTGATAAACATCAGCGATGTCAGATGGTGTTCTGAACTGCTCCTGAACTCTAAACATCTGGAAAAGGGCTCTGCAGGTCCACATCCAAGCACTCTTTTTTATTCCCTTTCTAAGCCCTTTAAGCACTTCTCTGAGGGTGTGTATGTCTACTGCTGCTACAGCCTCCATTTGTTTATAGGACTGTTTGCTGTGTGCAGGGAAAAGTACTGTTGCCCTAGCAACGGCAGCCTGATTCGGGGTCTGTTCTGAGCAGCTATATAAATATGGAATATTTATATAATACAGTCAGAGAAAAGCACTCAGAGACTGTGGTATGCATGATACACAGAGCATACACTTTTGCCGTTGCAGCAGAAAAGTAGATTTAGGGAAAAAAAGATCAGGGACAGCATTTAACTGCAGTAGTGATAATATTGCAGGCCACAGAGGTCTTCTTTGGTAACGCATTAATGCTTTTGTATGGTTTTGATAGAGAATGCCAATCGACGGCTCAAAGAGCTAGAAGAAGTGAGACAGAGAAGGAAACAGAGGGGCCTTCTGAGGTATACATGCTGTGGCGATAGACAGATTTTCTCTCTTCTATGCCCCTGAGTGAAAAGTCTAGGTGGCAGTTTCTGGAGAGGCTTTGAAGCCTCAATGGAAAGGGATAGAAGAAACTATTGAGAAGGGGGTAGCATTGCTGTAAGGTTTCTGTACACTCAGTCCCTCTCTTCTGAGCAAGTACCTACTTGCAGACCTAGAATCCACAGTGAGCAATGCTGGGCAGGAAAGTTGCATCATCTTCTCTGACAACGTCCCACCCTCTGCCCTTTCTCAAATGCCGAGCCACCTGTCCAAATCAAGCTCTCTATTTCCTAACTCTTACCATAAAGGGATGTTTATCTGTTTGACACTTTTGACCTTTTGAGAAATGAAAGCTGTCAGATTCTTGGTTGAGGCATCATGATGCGAGACAGTTAGGTTTTTAGAGTTTGGGGAAAGAGAATTGTGCATCACTCAAGCCTTCAGAGGGGAATGCTGCTGGACAAAAGTTGGCATAGCAATAACGCTGGGCCTGGCAGGGACTCCAGTCAAGAAAGGTCTCACAGAAGCAGGCTTGAGTCTATGGGATGGACCACCCAACAACAAAGGACCACTGAGCTCATAGTAGGTGCCTTGTCCACAAAGCTGTGATTTTTATCAACACACAAAAACCTCTAAATTACTAGCTAATTTTTCATTTGACTACATCACTTCTGATTAACCAGGAAGACAAAGCCGCTTTTCTGTTCTCGATAAAATCTTTTGAGTGGGGTGATATGGGCTCCCAGACTATCTTCGCATCTCCCCACTCTAGGTAGGAAGTTGGCAGCTTCTGAGAAGATTTCTTGGAATTGCGCAAGCCACAGGAAAATCAGGCTGCTGGTCTCACAGACATACATCAACTGCCAACTTTTTTTTGGTTTTTGTTTTTAAAGGGCGGCTCATTCTCAAGGTGCCAGAACAGGCAAGTTGAATGAAGAAGCCAGAGATGCAGCATGATCTGGAATAGCATTGAAGGCTGAACAAATTGATTAGTATTTGCAAAGGGAAAATGATTTTCATCATCTCAGATCTGCTGTTTATTTGAGGAGTTTATAGCTTATAAGCTATTTTAGGTTCTCTTGTTATATTTTTGGCTGAATCAGTTTTTGCTGACTTTTTTTTTTTTTTTAAGACACGCATGCCAGAAACCATTTGGTTTTCTTGACTATTCCTTCCAATTAAGAGAATTGCTTTGCTTCTTCCCTCTGCTGACCCTCAAGTTTTCCAAAGAGGCAGAAAGATATCAGTTTATATTTCCCCTCATGTTTTACTTCGGAAACCTCTCCCCATCCCCTTGGTAGAGGGGCTATACATTATATAGCCCCACCTTGGGGGTCGGCCTATGAATCAGGCAGACTAATAGGAATCTAGGAATCCCCTATTCTCTTATTTTCAGGGCAGAACATATGACTAATCTAGGGCCGATGAGATTCCTACTTGGATGACCTGACTTGGATACTGAAAGAGACACAGCCCCATACCTTTACAGAATACAAGTGCTAAAACTATGTATAACTGGGGGTTGAGTTATCGTGGTCACCATGTGAAGGTAGCTTGCTTCCGAATGATGCCAACAGAAGGCAAACAGAGCTGAGACAGAGGGGAAAAGAATAGGCTTCGTTTGAACCCTTGATCTATCTCTACCTGAAGCCTGCATATCCTTGACCTTTCTAGTAATGTGAGCCAAGATACTCCCTTTTTCACTTAAGCTAGTATGAGTTGGATTTCTATCACTTGCAACTAAAGGAACTCTAACTACACCATACATAATGGAGACCCAGTCACAGTAGGACTGAGATGAGCACCAAGCGTTGCCTCACCTATGTGTTGGGCACAGGTGTCACAATATTCTGCATACAAGGACTCGAAGCAGTGGCAACAATAGGGCCTTCCCTCCTTCATGATGTAGCGCTGGCCGCCTAGCACTGTTTCGCATTCGAAGCAGCAAAAGTGTTTCATGTGCCAGTGCCGCCCCTCAGCTTCGGTGCATTCATCTGCAAAGATGATCTGGAGATAGAGAAGCCAAACGGTCAGTGATTAAGACTTAGCCATGAGGATGCACTTTAAAGGAGAAAGCTATGGGGGCCTCGAATTAGAAGAGTGAGAAAACAGGGCCTGCCCATAAAGTATTAAACAAAAATCTATATGTGTATATTTATTCAGTATCTAAATCAGCTCCCACATTTAGATTTGCCTAAAGTATAATTAAACATGGTTTTTAGCCTGGCCAGTGATTAATTTAAACACATTTTAATAAAAGAAAGAATGTTCCACCTTGAAGAATATAAACAAGACAAAAAACTAACAGTGCATGGGCATTTTGAACATATATATCTCTTTTCTTTGGCCTACACATATTTTTTAAATGGAAAATGTCATACAAACACCTGGAATCCTGGTTTGTCTTTTGACTATATAAGATTTGGCTGTCCTCAGTATACATTCATGCTAGGCAGCAGTAAGCTAGAGCTGAGAAGGGAGGCTGCTGCTTTCAGATGAGTGGTGAGTTCTCCAGGTTTGTTATCCTCTTCACTACTCACCTTCATTTGCAATATCTGCTAGCCCTCAGAAGCATTTGCATTTTGACCTCTAACACAAGATTTTTAAAATTTCAAAGCACAGATTTAAAAGCTTACTACAAACTACAGCGATCAAGCCAGTGTGGTACTGGTATAAGGATAGACAGAGAACAACAGAATAGAATAGAAAGTCCAGAAATAAACCCAAACATTTATGGCCAATTGATTATCAATGAAGGGGTCAAAGACAATACATGGGGAAAGAAATGTCTCTTGAACAAATGGGGCTGGGACAACTGGATAACCACACGTAAAAGAATGAGTTTTCTCTCTCACATCACACACTAACATTAACTAAAAGGGGATCAAAGACCTAAAGAGCCAAAAGACTACAAAATGCTTAGAAGAAAACACAGGCGTAAATTTTCACGACCTTGAATTAGGCAATGGGGTTTCTTAGGTGTGACATTAAAAGCATAAGCAATTAAAGAAAAAAAAAATAAATTGGACTTCATTCAAGTTAAAAACTTATGTGCTTCAAAGGACATCATTAAGAAAGTAAAAACACAACCAGAGTGGGAGAAAATACTCGCGAATCGTGTATCTGATAAGGAGCTAGTACCAGAATACATAAACAACATTTTAAATTCCAGGATGAAAAGAAAAAATCACCCAACTGAAAAAATGGGCCAAGGATTTGAACACATTTCTCCAAAAAAGAAGATATACAAATAGCCAATAAACACATGAAGAGATGCTCAACACTAATAGCCATTAAGGATATGCAAATCAAAACCACAATGTGATATCGCTTTACACCCAATAAGATGACTATGATGAAACAGAAAGACAATAAGTGTCAAGAATGTGGAGAAATTAAAAACCTCATTCACTGCTAGTAGGACTGTCAAATGGTTTAGCTGTTCTCGAGGAAAGTTTAGAGGCCTTCAAAAAGTTAAACTTAGAATTTCCATATGATCTTGCGGTTCCACTCCTAGGTATACACTCAAGAAAACTGAAAATATATGTTCACACAAAAACTTGTATATGAATATTCATATTCTGTCTGCGATTAGATAACTAATGTTGTATTATGAGCACTAATTTCCAGTATGGAAACTGAGGCAGGTAGGTAAAGTGGCTGCCTAGAATTACAGAGTTGGACTACCTATCTAGAGGGTCTCTCTGTAACATCACCATTAGCATTAGAATCCAAGAACCTAAATTAGTTAAGGCTGATCAACTTCCTCCTAGAAGAGTAAATCTCTTATAGGCAGTTTATAAGGAAGAAATGCCCATGTAACAGTGAACTCTGGCTAAAGAAGGAGAATGTTGTTTAGACAGTCCCACCTTGCTGTTTATAGGGTCAGACAGAACCAAAAATTCACTCTGTATAGAAGGAAACCCCTGTCTAAGACCTTCCCCAAATGATTCCCATAAAAGTGGTCAGCTTTAGAAAATTCTCCTTTCTGCTCCAAACTTAAAAAAAATTTAATTGAGATATAAATTCCAAATCTTAAAGCTAAACTATGTTTTCTATTCTTCCAGCTCACAGGTTATACCTGGGAGTACTTCTGGTGGGAAAAAGCACCTGGCATGGGCCTGGTGTTCTTGTCTTTCTCGCCCAGGGTAACAGATTCAAGTTCCTCTTAAGAGCATGGGGCAGAGGTATCCAGGTGGAATGTCCATTTGCCTCCCGAATCCTCATCAGAACTTATGCAAATTGTGGGAAAATTAAATAATGCTACCTGTTTTCTTCTCTTCTCAAACCAATCTGTCTCATTGAAGCACAGGAAATGAAACTTTTAAAGATATAAGTGACCCATCGTTACTAATGATTACTCCCTGGGATTCGGGCTAAAATTTAAGGCTGTACAATGTCTTTTTTTTTTTTAAGTGTTATGAACTTACCTAGAGCCAGGAAATCTTTTCAACTATAGAAACTAACTGCCTTTCCACCTGGATGTCCATGGGATGGCCATATTCAGTAAGTGGGTCATAATCCCGGACATGCTAACAACAGGGGATGGGTAAGGCTTCTCTCTGAAAGGGTTAATATAAAAAGGTGGAGTGGCCTATGGTTTTCTGCTGTGCAAGAAGCCACAGGACCATGTGGTGGTTATGGTGCAACAGAGGGGTGATGGGTAGGCTGCAAGCCACATTGAGTGTGAACTGACCTCGTCACAGGCTGCACAGCGTGGCTTCAGGCACTCGGCGTGATGCCTGCCACAGTATATCTTCCCATCTTGGTAAAAGTAGATCAAATCCACCAGGAGCTCATTGCAGACAGTGCATATGAAGCAGGGTGGGTGCCAGCAAACACCGTGGCCAGCACGCGATGCAAACACAGCGATGTCCCCACCATTTATCTGGCCTCCGCACTGTGAGGCAAACAGAAACGTCAGTACGAACCCCAGCTCCCATATCTCAGTGCCATGCGTAAGTGATAAATGACCACCACTACCACCAATAGCTGGTTATTGAACACTTATTTTCCAACTAGTCTCTGTGCTACCTGCTTTTACATACATATCCTCCTCCCACTTTCCTTTCCTAGGGCCTACGAGTAAGTTGAAGGTAAAGTAACTGAGAATATGAAGAGCCACAGAGGTGGGAATGAAAGAAAAACTCTTATAGGCAGAGGCAAACTTACACAGAGCAAAGTTCTCATTATCTTTTAGATCTTCCAAACTCCATCCAGAGGCAAAGCCAAGTTTAACACCAGAAGGAGTAGACTGTGGGGGTTGGGAGGTGGGAAGAGGGGCCTGTAAGATGGTAAGGGGAGTGGGTTCATAAAAATATGCCTGCCTTTCACTATTTCTCTAAAAGCCTTTCAGGCATGCTTTTAGCTTGCTTCTTCTAACATCTTTTTTACATAGTCTTGATTGAAAAGGCACCACTTCTAAGACCAGAGTGTAGAAAGGGCTTCCTTCTCCCTCCCTTATCTTTCCACTCATGTCCCAAAGTTCCTTCCCTTATCCAGAAAGGAACAGGTGGAATCCTTGGGAACCTATGTTTACGGTGGGGGTTGGGATAAAGCGAATATGGTCTGAGGGTCTTTGAAGGAGGAACAGAGTGTGAGGCAGTAGGTTTACGGAAAGGCTCTCTGCTACCCATGGTGCTGGCCATGAGGTTCACAGCCTGAGAGTCTAGTACTTATGGTCCCATATGAGAGGCTGCATTCTGGGGACACTGTCTAAAGAATAGAAAAGCTACTTCCAAACCCTTCACATACCATGGACATCATGTGGTTGCAATGATTCATAGGACGTGAAGTAAAGATCTCGTGGAACACTGTCTGGAAGCTCGTTTATGTGAGTGACCAGACAAAAGAAAGATGTTATGTCACAAAAAGTAATACCCCTGCCTTTTATAATGTTAGTAGAAATGGGCTATGCATACTGTTAAAAGATGAATTGAGGCGCAATAAAATTTTTGAGTTTATTTGAGCAAATACTGATTCAAACTGGGCAGCACCAAACCGAAGGTGGTTAGGGGTGCTCTACTGACTGGATCTAGGGAGAGGTTCTTGTAGAGAAGAAGGGGAAGCAAAGCAAGGAAATTGTCTGGCTGGCTATCGTGTAAGTGGCTGCCTTATTTGGGAAAGTCCAGTTGGCTGTTTGCAACTGGTTGTTCTTAAGTTTGATTTTCTCGGCTTCTTTAACATTGACTTTGGCTTAGGTTTTCGTTTGTTTATGTAGGCTACCAAGGCATTAGAGCCACCTCAGTGTAATGGCCTTTTCATTTAAACACTTTGACAATAAAGAATCCCATTTACTCCTCACCGTAATTCTATGACATAGGCATTTGTTATCCCTGTTTTGCAGATGACGAAACTGAGGAAAAGTAACATGGTCAAGGCCATCTGGGAAAAACATGAGTCAAACTTATCTTCTTCTGCCTCCATGCTCTCGTCACTGTCCTATACTACTTTTGACATCTGCCTAAGAAATGCTCAAACTTCCTTTTTCCTTAGCTGAGCCTAGCCGGGCTGGTTCCAGAACAATATGATAGTAGCAGAGCTCCTGAATTGAGCAAACCGAATCTCACATCTTAACTTCAAACCACTTCCAACTCGAGGGAGGGTCTCAAGGATGAAGACCCCACTGTCAAATCTCTGGTCCTTTGGCTCCCCTCTTAAGTTGCGTCTCCACGCCATCCACCTGAATCTTCTCACTTTCTCTCTCTGAAATCTCAAAAACATACCCCCAGATGGCATCCACTTCCTTCAGGTATTATCTCAATTTCCTTTCATTGATCTAGCTCATATATCTTCAGCACCTGAATGGGTCCCTTTAGAGCTTAAGGATTTAATGGGGCTGTACAAAAAGCAGCAGGGTTAAGAGAAGTGCGGAAAATGATAATCGGCACCAGAAAGATTTGGGCAGCTGAGATGAGGGTCAGGGTGAACCCGGGCAGGCTGGATTCCCACCCTGCTTTCTTTGAAAGGCTCCTCCACCATGTCCTGAGCACTCTAGAGGAGAGTAGGAGAAAAAACAAATCCAGACTCTTCAATTCATTGAGGTCCTAAGGAGAATGCAGGGGGCTTCATGAACTTAGCTAAAGAATCCTCAAACCAAGGAGGCAATCCTCAAATCCTAGGAAAGAGGCTGACTTTTGGTCCAGGCAAACTCCATTTTGCCATTCTTCTGCTCCAATCCTTTCAATGGCTTCCATAACTTTCCAGGATCTGGCCCTCTGCTAATTCTCTGCCTTCACTCCCTCTGCCCTGCCACGCTGGTCAGCTTACTGTTCCTAGAACATAATAGAAATGCTTCTGCCTCAGGGCCTTTGAACTGGCTGCTCCTGCTGCTTCCTCCCCAACCCCCAAATGTGCATGATTCATTCTCTCACATCTTGCTCTTCTTTGCTCAGAAGCCACCTTCTAAGTGGAGCTTTCCAGGCCACTTTATGAAAACTGCAACCTCCCACACTCCCAGTACTTCCTAATCCCTTCCCTGATGTAGTCTTTCTATCTTGTTTATGTTATCGTCAGACTTTCCCCCCTAGAATATAATTCCTTACGAGGGCAAGATCAAGCTTTTAAAATTTTTGTCCACTGCTGTATCCCCCAGGCCCAGAACAGTGCCTGGCACAAAGTAGACACTCAATGAACAAGTGTGGAATGAATAAATGAGTGAACGGATCCCTCTTCGCTCCTCAGAATCCACGCTCACCTGTTCACAAATCGCTCCAGTCATGGTGACTGGGAAGGGCCTGACATTCCCTCGGCCCAAGTTTTCACGTTTCCTCTGGTTGCTGAAGAGCTTTAGCTCCCTCTTCTCTTCCTCATCCAGGGAATTGCAATATCGAACCTGAAGAGACACAGAGAATGACATGGAAGAGGTCCCTCTTGCTCTTAGGATTCCCAAAGCTCAAGCCTCAGAGTTTTCTCTTTAAACAAGCTCTCATTTGGTTTCATAGGCCTGTGCTTTGACACCACTCAGCTTGGGGCCATTTAAAATAAGTCTATCTACAACTGCTGATGGCCAAAAAAGCTTACTAAAGGCTCTAAACTCTGGATCCCACATCTTAGGCAAGATAAAGGTCCGTAACTGTTCCTCATCCTTACTGCCCCGCTTTGCTCACTACACTAAAATCCAAATCATCTGGGATAGCTTTGGTGCTGGACATGACCTGGGATTTTCTCCCTTCAAATTGATTGGATCTTCAAATTGAGTTGAGGTCCTGATACTTTCATGTCCATGTGTCCATGTAAGTGGTCCTTGGCATCAATGGATGTCTCCAGGCCAGAGGGCCAGAACAATTATCAAAGAGCTCACAGCTTCTCTTTTCCCATCTTATTTTGAGAAAATAGGGAACCAAGGGCCTGAGACTGAAGAGTTGGTCAAAGGTATCTGTGTTGCTTCACAGGAGTCTTTGCACGCTTATCCGTGTGCAGGAGGTAAAGAGCTGCCTGCTGGGCTTTGTTTAATGAATCGACTTGCATAAGATATCTTCCTTCTTGTTAAACACAGGAACAGAATTAAAGGAGGAATATTAAAGACATTCAAATCCAGTATTTCCCATTCTCTCCCCTGATGTACGCATACGCTGGGGATTTCGCCATAGTCTTGAACTATTATTTACTTAATACTATTTTAAAACTGACTCACTTTTTGAAACCTGAATATATTTACTTAAAAAGAAAGTATATTGTGATTATAAATGGAAAATCAGTATTACCTGCAAAAAACAGAATGTGACCGTAAAACTAAACAGACTGAGAAAAAAACCGCATTGTTAGATTCTAGCTGGCTATTTTTGTTTGTAGGAGATCCTAAAATGGAGATTTTTAACGCTACAGCTTAAAAAGTGGAGACTAGTAGGAATTTGAAGAGGTATGAAATACCTGCTAGCACCAAACTGAAACTCCCCCCTTAATTATTCACCCATTCTATCACGTGGAATGAAACACAATTTAAAAAGGAGTGACTCCCTCATTACATGGTTTGGTTTTATTTACTGCCATGTCTATGTACCACCCAAAGTCCTGTATCTATCACGCTTTGGGAAACATGGTCCTAATCCCACTTCTGTTTTACTGTTGAGTAATTTGAGCATCAGAAAGATTAACTGAATTGCTCAGATGATTTCTCATCCAGATGGTTACAGGGAAAACTTTGAACTAGACTGGCGCATTCTAATTTGAAAACCAGTACAGCTGTAGGTATTGAAATTGTCTTAATCTGGGTGTAAAAAAGAATGATCAAATATTGACTTTAGAATCACCCTTTGTCCTCAAAAAGGTCATGTCAAATGGGTGAAATCTACCCGCTGGGTCATATGTAAGGAATTCTCACCAAATGGAAGAAGGAATTCGAAAGGTCTCTTTTCATGAAACCACAGTTAACCATAAATAGAATAAACCAGTAAAAGTAGAGAAGAGCATATCACTTCTCTCTATCAAGTAAAAAGAGTTAACAACAACAACAAAAAAGAAAAATCTTCATGTCGATGTCCCAGAGAGAGAACTGCCGTGATCTGAACGGCCCAGAATATATGGTTACAGCACTGACATTTTATGGACACGCTTTTAAAGAAAGGCACACCCCTCCTGCTTGTAAAAACCCGCATTTTCACTTCCAAATTAGTTAACTGGGCATCAGGTTACAATGCTTGCTCTTGGCTTTAAAGAGAAAGCTATTTATATATTTTTTATGAAGTCTGAAATAAACAATAGGAAAGGGAATCAGTGGCTTTCTTTCTAGGAGTTGCTTTAGTGTTTAAGCTTTTGCTCTACTTATTCAAGTTTATTTTTGAGGCTCTCGATTTATTCTTTTTTAATTCAAATGTGGGAAGGTAAAGACTAAAATAGCACTCACTCATTTCCTCTGGGATCCAGCTGTGGGTAGGGACAGTTGGTAGAAAGCTGGTGTCTCACTCTCTAAAGGGGTTACATCTCCTTTTGATTTTAAATTATGTTTTTGTTTAAAATGTAGAGTTATGTGGACAATTCAGTTCTACGGGATTACCATTTTAAAAAAATCAGATATTTAAAAATTAATTTCTGGTTTACAAATCTAAACCCCTCAAGCATGATGATCTTTTAAAAGCGCATTTAGAAATTTCCCTTCGTGATCAATTTATCTTCAAAGAAATGCCTGCTTACAGTGTCTGGGTTCAGAAAAAAGGAAAGCCTGCAAGCCAGACTTTCAAAGGTATGAAGAATGATCTTAGCAAGTTGGACTTTAAATGACAAAATCACAGATGTTCAGAGAAGCAAATCTGGACAAATAACTTCTACTTCAGTGTAATGTGGAAAACGTGAACACTCGCTTAATATGAAAGGATGCTGGAAATTTAAGAGGATCACAAAGTTTCTGCGGGGTTTGAACTGGCCCAAGGAATCTCAATCATTTAACGTACTTGGGAAACCAGCATTGCACATTCTTCTTCAGCTAAGAAAACCTGAACCCGAGCATTTAAATTTTAGTGCTCCCTGGTTACCCCCAAATAACTAGTAGTGCCAGGCACCGAGGCAAATCCAGTCTATAACGAGATTCTGCTTTTCGGTAACACTCTCCAGAGGGTGTCGGACAGTTTCTTTTGGCTCTAATTAAGGAAGCTAAAACCTAAAATAAATTGCCAGGGTTTTTCTTTGGAGATCTCATTGATCAATGCATTCTTTCTAACTGTGAAAAAGGTAACAATTCACAGAAGGTTCTAAGAAAAGTCTTCATAAAGTCCCTCCAGCCCCCTTACCTCATTGTCATGTGGCGGCAGTTGGTGTAATAGCTGCTTGATTCTCAGTTTCTCTCCAGGACTGTTGACATAAGGAACTTTCTCTTCTGGGAGACAGCTGTAGTACTGGTGAACCTAAGAGATGAAAAAGCACACGGATAACTTGCCCATTCTCACTTTCTGGGAAGAAGATTCCCACGGCAGGACACAATCTACTTCCCACCGTCCCCGCCCTTCATGAGACTCAACGGCATGAGTTTCTCACTGCAACCAGAGAAATTCATCCTTAAAGAGTCACACAAATCACCGCTCTCTCGGGGGAGCTTCCCCTCTCTGAGCAAGGGAAGAATAAAGCCAGCAGCCTTTCCTAGAAAAAAAGAAACCAGCAAACATGTTGGTGAACCCGGAGGGTAGGGCTTTCTCCACAGGCTCCCCTGAGAGCTGACTTTACCATTTTCTCTGTTAGTCTCCAGCATGTAACATTCCTCCTGAGCCAAAGGGATATGCCAGTGCCTGCCTTGGCGGCACTGGAGTCAAAGCCAGTTTTTGGCACTCAGCAAACTTCTGGGTCCCTCAGCCTCCACCTACATTAAAAGCCCTTCAGCTTTTGAGCCCTTTGTAAGGACAGGCAGCAGCTCACATCTGTCAGAAAAAGTCACTAGATCTGAGTGTGTAATCAAAAATTGTCATTAATAAGAGTATTTCTGCACATTCTAGAATACTCCTATTTACGACTGTTAAGACAGGTTCCTGTACCTTTAAAAAAAAATTATTTTATATTAGTTTCAGGTACACAGTAAGATTCTTGTACTTTTTAAGGCTATTTTAACCCTAACAATGACTTCAGAAAGCATCAAACATCTAATTTTGCCTGAGAAAACAACGTTCTACCATCTAACTGCAAAACTAAGGAAAGAAAAAACTGACCCAAACAGAAGGACACACACACTATTATATAGGACACACACACACGCGCGCGCTCAGATGACATCATGGAAAACAATTTCTGACTATCTCTTAGCAGCATCATAACCAGCTATTGTGAAATAAGTCATTCATTCAACAAAACAGAGAAGATATGGGGCTTTAAATTCATCATGTTTGTTACACTCCACAAACTTGGTCTAATTCCCTTGAGTTTAGGGAGCCCTGGATATGCACACATGTTTCGGGAATGCTGGGGTGAAGAGTTATGAAAGCTCTGTCTACTTTGATCAGAAACGAAGTCGTAAGTGTTAGAAGAGAATGGAGAAAAGGCTTTGCAATGACAAGGCTTTTAAAAAATGTGAAAGCCATCTTTATTTTTGTAACAAATAATCATAACCATTCACCATCATGTGCATTATCAACCTCTTAATCAAATCCCAACGGCAACCATAAACAGACTTCTTGTCCTAGACTAGCTGGCTTTCGGAGGGCTGGGCTTCTGCAGCTACTCCCCAGAGGCACCTGGCAGGGAGCCACCTCCCAGGATGGGAAGGAACAGCTCCAGGTTTTGAGGGCCGCCCACAAGCTACCAGCACTCTCCCTAAGAAGGAGTAAAAGCCCAGATCATGAGTTAGTTTGAGATTAGAAGTTGGCGATTAGCCCATCAGAGGCTGGTACACCATTCTGTGTTCAGGAGAATCCATTCACCATACACCTCCTCAGGTAAGTGCCAGGTATAAAGAAGCATGCCCAGTTTCTGTGTCTTAGGGAATGGGCTTTGCCTCTCAAGTCAAAGAATTGCTTGTAGGCCTTGTTGCAACATTACTTTGTAATTCTCACAACTCTCATTATAGTTATGGAACGCTAGGGACAAATGCTAATATGAAATGAATCCCTGTGGATGCTTGCTAATGAACAATCTAATCTGAACTTGACTGACCCTCCTCTCAATCACCCCTCATTACTCACATAGCCCTCTCTTTGCTGCCCAGATCAGAGTCATCCCTGAGAGACCTTCTAAATTAGCACCTTGAGTCAAGCCCTCTCTGACGCTCCCCAAGGCTGACCCAGGTTAGAATCTTCCTTGCACCTTCTGCAGCAGGGCTGGGGAGATCTGCACCCCTAGTCTCGGCCAGGTCCCATCTTTGCATTCCTCAGCAAGTTACATCAGCCACTCAGAATCCTCATCACAAGATTGTGGCAATTAAATAAGCATATAGGCAAAGCATTTATCCCTCAATAGCAATAAATAACATGAATGCATAGCAATAAGTGTTTTATCTAGCCTGCTATATGCCAAATGGGAGAACCCAGATACCTCCTGGCCTTTCCTCCATTGTAGAATGTAGGTCAACACTGTCAGCTTACAGAGTGAGGCCAAATCCTGGGAGCCAACCCCCAACTTAGTTTAAGCAAGAAGACTGCAAGGAATAAAATGCTATTTAAGCCAGTTTGATTTCAGAGGAAAAAAAAATGGCAAATTATTGAAGAGGTGTGGTGTTTTCTCAAGAAACCCAGCAGTAGGGCCTCATGAGGAAATGGGACCTGCCACTGAAAGGTGATTGGTAAGGGATTCTCATCTCTCTAAGCCCAGTGTCCTCTTAATCTCTGCTTTGTTCTGTCTCTGCACCTTCTCAAAGCTTAAAGTTTCCCATAGCACTTGAGTTTACACAACCTCGTTTTCTAGACTGATTAGCTTTGCTCAATTCCGAATTTTCCAGAGAAGGACCCAAATCGCTCATCTTAAACAAGGTCCACACCTAGAGATTGGATAAAGAAGTTGCTCACCATTTTGAGACGAGGAGTCCCAACGTGACTCTAGAGATAAGTAGAAAGTTAATAAGTTTCTTGTATGCTGAGGTCCATCCTGAAGACTTTGAATTCTGAAGTCAACAGAGGCAGTGACTACTCTTTGGGAACATAGCTCTATCTTTCCTGGCTGGACATCTTGTGTTATCTTTTATAATTTAAGACAACTGATCACCACGACTGAAAATGTATCCATTTTCCAGTATTCCAATAATTCTTCAAGTACGGAATGTGCTAAAATATTTCCTCACAAGGCAACCAATAATTTGGTGGATGACTTGAAAAGTTACCTAGTTAGTGAGATGCCACATCATTAAAACAAATCATAATATTAATGATCAATCTACCAAATCACCCCCATGTTATGTGGTAGGTGATCTGACTTACTCGGAGGAAAGAGAATGAGTTGGTCCTTCAACTCATTTGCAACCCTCCCCCAAGCCTGTTCAAATTCAGGAGAAAAAGTCATTCCTCTCATGCTGGCTTCTGTGTCTCGCCCTGGGATTTAGGATCTGGACTTTCCAAGCTCTTTATCGAGCAAAGGGGATTAGAAGATGGATGGGAATGAGGGATAAACCACCGTCTTGAATTTCCAATCTGTCTCTTGCTGAACACAGAAATGCTGCATGTGTTATCCTCTGGCATCTTCCACAGTAAAACTACTGTATGACCCAAAACAAACACCAGGAAAAATAGTATACTTTCTCGCACCTCAAAAATTAAATTGGGTACCACTCCTGAAAACACTGGAGATTGTTCATTTTAGTCCCAACACGTCTCACTTGTTTATTTTTACAAATAAATACGCAAATCCAATAGGCTTTTGTCAATGATGATCATTACCAAGCTATTACCTGGTATGTTGATCACTTTACTTTTCCTCTTGTGTGTACTGGGCATACTTCTCCCAAATGCATTCTGTTAAATGTACAGAAACTTTGCTTCCTTGAAACTTTCCCAGGTAGGAGTACTCTGTGATCTGCCCTGGGTGAAGCTGTACTAGGTACATTTCCCCTGAACAAAAGCATTTTAAATACAATAAACTGGCTTATGAAAATGAAGTAGCTGAAGGCCTTTATTTAAGGTGTTACTCCCAACGGGCAGGTTTAGCAATAACTTCAGCCTGTGTCACACAGATTGTCAGAGCTTTAGTCAGTGTGCAAATAAAGTCTGCAGAGCAAGAACTCACCCAGTTTGAAAGACTAGGCTTGTTAGGAGGAACTGTACTTTTGACAGCGTTTCTGCCTGGGCACAGATGGAAGCGAGAGTCAATGACTCCCCACTGGAGAGAAAAGTGTGCTCATTTAAAAAAGTGGGCACAGTGCTTTATTTAGAGCTTGCATCAGAACCACCTAGGAGGTCTGTAAAAACACACATTTCTATTTCAGTAAGCCTGGGGTGGGGCTAATAATTTCCATTTCTCATCACTTCTCAGGTGATGCCCCTGCTGGTAGTCCCGGACAACACCCTGGGGGGTGAGAGTTCTCAAGTATTCTCCCTCCCCATGAGGTTGCCAGGCGAACTGTGAGGTTCCGGTTTTCTCCAAGGGATCCAGTAAGCCCAGAGGAGTGGAAAGAATATGTTCCATCCCACTCAGTTTTGCAGGTGTCTCCTTTCAAACCTACACATGTGATTTAGCAAGGGAATTTTACCAGATCTGCCAAGAATGAGAAGTCCTGAGGGAAAAGTGATCACATTTTGGGGGGGATATTTTCCACATCAAAACCATTCCCATTTTCTTGAGGTAGGAATCCAACAAAGAAATCAGACTTTCTTGGTTGATCTCAGGTTCAACTGTCCTTCACCATCTAAACGCAGGATCAATGAACATATATATTTATTGAATGTCTCTTATGCCCAAAGTATTTTTATATACAGTATCTCATGAACCCTCCCCACATCCTGAAGGTTGGTACATTATATTCATCAGATCGAGAGTCACATAGCTAAAAAGTGGACTTGGGTTCCTCATCCTCCCCTCCGTTTATCGTGGATTCTTGGCTTTCCTTATCAAGAAGAAAAGAGACCGGGATAGGGAAAAAAAAAAAAAAAAAAAAAAAAAAAAAAAAACAGAAAATACCAAGAACACTGATATGACGCA